GAGAGCTGAAGGGGAACAAAAAGCTCAGGGCCTTAGAAAGAGAAGCTTACAAAGACTTCTATGAAGACCTCCCAGCTGAAGCCTGAGGTACTGGAATGCAGGCAGTAGGCCACAACAGTCTGGCCAAGAGGGTCAGGGTCCAGCAGCAGGCAGAGGCCGGCACAGGTTAAATGAAGAAAGAGTTCAGTGACAACAGCAAAGACTGCGCTGGAAGGAGGCAGAGGAAAGGAAGACACTGGGCACCACAATCCAGGAACAACTGAGGGAGGAGGAGGTGCAGAAGAAACAACAACTCAAACAGCGCAGGAACATCAGATGAGCCTTCACTGGAAAAGGGAATAGGATGAGGGTTATTGACAGGCAGCAGCCCCATGGTCCAGGTCCTCTTGACTGGGCCTTGTGTAGGAATGAGTGGGGCAAAAGGGCTGTGACAGGGCCAGACGTAGTATGGGCCCCAGGCAGTGTCCATGCAGTGCATCCCTCCTGCCCAGATAGGCAAGTTTAATGACAAAGAGAACCCACTCCCTCCCCGCCCAGGCATCTACCTCCCAAAATAGTGGCTGGAGAAAGGCTTGAACATTATGTTATGTGAACATGTTTAAATTACTGGAAGCAGAGGGAGAGTAAGGGAGGACATGGCAATATGAGAAAAGAGAAGGGAAAAAGGAAAAGGGATGAAGCTGACTTTCATTTACCCTTTGATTAGTATGTGATCTTTATGGGGATGGTGACGTCTGCATATTCGGAAAGGAGCTGACACTTGACTAATCTCATGGACAATGGGCTCTGAGCCTGGTCACTTTTGGTAGATGCGCCAGCCATTGAAGATGATGTGGCATTTAGGAAATGTACCTCACAAAGCAGTAGAACCAGATGGGATCTAAGTAACAATAAATTAGGGCTGGTCCTGGTTGGCCCTCAGATTTTCTCAAGAAAAGTGTCTTGTTGCAAGCAATCCTTGTAATATTATGAAGTATTTGAATGTGATTTGGTCTTGAACAGGTGATTAAAATATCTTTTAAACTGCCCCTCATTAACTGATCCATATCAATTCAGCTAGCTGTATATTTGGACTCTTCCAGGAAACAGCTGACTATGAGACCTGTTATGGTGAACATCTGCATTTCCAAATTTACAATTATACCAGTGCCTGCATGTGACCAACAATGAACTCCTATAAGTACTGTTCTTCTTTTTTTAATTTATTTTTTATTTTTAACCTGCATGTGACCAACACTGAACTCCTATAAGTACTGCTCTTCTTTTTTAAATTTATTTTTTATTTTTAACAACTAGGGATAAAGTAAGGAGTACAAAAGGTAGAGGGGGATGGGGGGGAAAGAGGGGGAAGGAGAAAACAAAATGGTACTGTCATCCAATCTGTTCATGTTGTGATATCAAGTCAACTTTCTGCCTTTCTACAATCTGATTGCCCTCCAGGTTTCAACTTACAGTTAGATCTTAGTTTAATTCTATTCTTTCTACAATCTGATTGCCCTCCAGGTTTCAACTTACAGTTACATCTTAGTTTAATTCTATGTTATTCAAGCACTATCTGGTGACTCAGACCATTTACTGTATATAATAAATCCCATCGTCCAGTTGCCTTTTGTATTGGACAGTCTTTCAACACTTCTGATAGAATATCCATTTCTGCTGCTTCCCATATCTTCCCAATGAGTTCCTCTTGTTTCTGTATCTCTAATATCTTCCAATTCTTAGCATAAAGAATTCTGGCTGCAGTGACTATATATATAACTCGGTAGTTCTTTGTCTTATCTATATTGTCTGGTATAATGCTCAGTAAAAACAATTCTGGGGTTAGTGGAACATTACAAAGCAGTATTTTTTGTAACAGAGTATGTATTGATGGTCAATACTGTTTCGCCACTCTACAAGTCCACCACATATGGTAAAAGCTTCCCTCTTGTGCTTCACACTTCCAACAAACATTTGACACCTCTGTATAAATCTTAGAAGTATTGCTCTTCTATATGTCTCCTCTAAGTACTGCTCTTCCATGTGACCATACTTACTGTCTCTAACATTATTTCATTTACACTGCCTCCTGCTACAAATCACACAGGTTAGATTGTCACTTGCACAGTATTATGTAGGATAACAATTCTAGAAGACATATTTTAAATCTTACCGTAGTAACATTGCCTTTTCTCATATCTGGAAGAAATGGGCAGGCATTCACATTTATATCTTTAACAGCAGCTGTCATTTTGGACATTTCAGGGCTGTTTTTCATAGAGACTTCACACTGTGCTGTAGCCACCAGTGCAGGAGCATCACTTCTTGTCAAATCAGCTACAAATACAATCTCAGGATTCTTAACTACAACATTTATTTCCATGGTAGATGCTGTCTGTATAGGAACTGAAAATGGGATGTTTTTACTTGTTAAGCATTTTAAACAAAATTAACATTAGAACAGAATAATCAATAATCTCTTTAGCTTTTGCCTTTAAGTAAAAGTGTGGATCTCAACAATGTTATAGTAGGACTGTTATCATTCAACCGTGGTGGAAAATAAACAGGATAAAACACAAATTGGGCTCTGGGCACATTTTCCACTGAAACTAAAACTCAACTTCTGGTAACAAATGTAAATGTTATGTTCTAGATGGTTCCACATAATCTCCCTCCCCACATCCATATAATCCACTATTGGGACATTAAAACGTTTCATTTAGGCAAGTGTACTGTCCTCAGAGAAATGTAATTAGCACTATAAACAGATCTCAAATGTTTTGAATCTACTCAGACTAATATCATCTCATAAAAAGAAAGCAATCTAGATAAGGATCAATTGTTAGCTCTCAGAGCCCTATAATTTTAGGAAAAATTGGCTGAAATCTTAATCTGCATGTATGCAAAAGATATAACTTTTAGCCGTGAATTGCTATGAGTTAAGAAATTTCTGTTGCATTATCTGTTCCATACTGAACATGCAAGAGTCAATACCAATAGATTTTTAACACTATTTGTCACTAAAAGTTATGCCTTTGCGTAACTACATAACAGGATTTCAATCACTTTTTAAAGGATTGCTGCATCTGACTTTTAGCCAGTTTCACTCAATTCCATGAGTGTGGTTTCTGAACCATTTGCTGGATCACACACATAATTACAGGAACAAAAAAAAATTACAAATAACTATTTTACAGCTTTCTCAAAGTCAACTATAGCAAATTTTAAAACTTTAAGTTAAACTTGACTTAAATTATTTTAATTTATAGCATGATTGTCCTGCAAAGACAAGAAATCAATATCCCCTCGCTCACTTTTTGTACTAAAGTTTATTCTTTAAGTTTCATGTAAGCTTTATCACACAAAATAAACTGAATTTTAACAATAAAGGATTATGTTTCTTTCAAAGAAGTAGGATATATTGGCAAGTATCCTCTAGCAAAGCTCTCTTAGTACAATGGGAATAATGTCACCAATGGCAGCAAGCTATCTCACAGTCTATAAATCACACAGACCCTGAAACTGAAAAAAGAACTCTTTAATTAGGAGCTATCTGGCACTGCCCATGACATCACCCTGCTGTGCCAGAGCTCCACAAGAGGATACTAGCCATTGAAATTTACAAGCAGAAGTACATGAAAATAACGAGACGGGAATAATCATGAAGCAATACTCCACTGAAGTTTATCCTATGTCTCCATTCTCTATGGAGAATTAGTGCAGGGAAATCACCCCAGAGGGAGACCACAGCTGCGATACAAGGACATCTGGAAGCGGGACCTGAAGGCCTTAGGAATGGACCTGAACAGATGGGAACCCCTGACATTTGAGCATTCAGCCTGGAGGCAGGCGTTGCATCATGGCCTCTCCCAATTTGAAGAGACCCTTGTCCAGCAGGCTGAAGCAAAGAGGAAGTCACAAAAGCAGCAAAATCAGGGAGCTGGACAGGGGACAGATTGGATTTGTCTTCAATGTGGAAGGGATTGTCATTCTCGAATTGGCCTCCTCAGCCACACTAGACGCTGTTCCAAGTCCTCCGTACAGAGCACGTTACCATAGTCTTTCGAGACTGAAAGATGCCTAATAATGAATCATATGTCTAATTTGTACAATGAAATGACAGCTGAAAGAAAAAAATAATAATTAAGATGAAAATGATGTCTACAGATAGACAAGAGAGGGACAGTTGGACTTGGACTGCAGCCCCATGGCCATGCTCCAGCAACCTCAGTGCTAAGTCTCCATATCAATAGGGCATAGGGAAACACCATGGTATATTCCTGAAAGAGCCCTGATGTTTCTCTTTAACATTGCCGGGAAGTCAATAATGGCAGTGGAAAGTGCCAATCTGATCCTGAGTATGGCCCATGATCGAATTAAGGCATTGTGCCAGAACAGAATAGTGCAGGACCCCTTGATTTTGTGATGATGATGGGTTTTATGTAAGCATTTATGGGTGAGGAGGGCTTCTCTATCAAACTGTGGACAAAGACTGCAGTAATGAATCATATGAATGCTCCAGATCTATGAGGGGGTGTTCTTGCCTTGGGCTTTGTTACAGTGGTGAGGATTGTTGAATAGATTGGCTCCAATCTGGGGACAGGCTAAAAGCTGGAGATGATGGTGGACATGACTCAATTCCTCATCTGAGGTTGAGCCAAAACAGAATAGGTCATCTCACTCTTTATTCGATGGCCATGAAGAGGGGTTGGCTTCCCTAGACTGCTTGGATGGCTTCAAAAAAAATTAATGTCACTTACATAATTTAGTCTTGTGTTTCTGTTTGAATTTCTTAATAGAAACTATGTCCAGGTCAGATGCCTTTTTAGTTTTGTTTGAAATTTTTGCTGAAGTTGGGTTTGACACAGATTGTGCTGTGCCCTTAAAAGAAATAGATTTTGGAGCTGACAATATTCTTGAAATCAACGGTACATTGTTGGTACCGGGAGGAGGTACTGTCTCAGTTTTTGTCAGTGCACGGGCTGCAGTGAACTCAGAATGAGATGGTTTCATAACACACTTTTTAGGAGATAGATATTCCTTGCACTGAATTGTTGGAACTGAAGAAAACTGTTGAGACAACGAACCGAGAGCTTGGAGAGATTTTTCCCATCAGTGAAATTTCAAGTGGGACTGTTGGTTCTTGATTGTGTTGTGCCCTTAAGAAGTATATTTCAGAGCCAGAAGTGGAAGTAGACTTTGGAGCAATCTTTGTGAACTTGAACCAATGTTGGAAAGCTTGTTGGCAGTCTTCACCAAGAGGAGCATAAGTGGTTCAAATGTCCATCAGTGAGGGGGATTTTATTGCTGGAAGAAGCATACTTTTTGAAAGGTCCCCATTGGGATCATAAAAAAGTGAGGAGGCCTCACCACAACAAGGTTAAGAAGTTCAAGCAGGAGGGAGGGAAGGAGTAAGAGAACACGACTAAAGTAACAAAGATTTTTTAAAGGGGGAGATTCACAAATGGAAGATTGGAGACAAAGGAGGAGACGATGTCAGATAACTCTCCAAAAATAAAAATAAAAAGACACAGCATAGGCTGTAACAAACATTCCTCAGAATTTACTCAGTGACAGCTCAAAGGAACCAAGAGATGGTCACTGGTAATGGGACATGCACAGCGGGGGAAGCGGGCTTTTCTAACAGCTCTGTTTAAGCTCTAGAACATTCTGACGGGTTTTGTAACAGGCACAGAAACACTGATAGGTGTGATTCATGGAGAGCACAAAGAAGCTATAGTTTTCAGTTTATATCTACTAATTGTCTATTGTAATGTGCTGATACCAATTACTAACCTTGCTCCTTTACAGCCAAAGTTTGCTTGAAGTTTCTCTCTGCAGCAGCACTTTCAGCAGTGGCTTTTAGAAAAACATCTGCTACAGTCAGAAGAAACTCTACACTAGCACAGAGGTATGTATCCTGAATAACTGTGTCAATAATGGTGTTCCCATCTCTCCCTTGTTTATAACTTATGTCCAACATTACTTTCTTTTCAGATCCATGCTTCATTTCAACCATTCTGAAAGACAGATTAGCAGGACAAGTAACTCAATGTGAAAAACATTACAAGTCATGTGCCCTAATTTTATCTTTATGATGATGTATTTGTCTTCAATACATATATTTTTACAGAGTTAGGCCAATTATTCTACAAATATTCCAAAATAAAAAATTCTTAAAACATCTCTTGTGGTTTTCCTCCTCTCTTAGTATTTTTTTTTAAAATTTGTTTACAATCTACAATTTTCTTTTGCAATTCAAAATTTTCCTTTAAATCCCTGTAATACAGTACATCATGTTTATATATAATAGTAAAAACAAATTCAAACAATTTGGCCAAGATCTAAACATGTGAATTAAGCATGCCTAATGGTACTTTTCTTTGGATAACTTTTTTTAATAGAAAGACCAGAATCCTGTTGGTGTTCACATAAGGCTTGTGTAACCTGTTGTGGCTAACTGATGAGGTGCTGAGATATATCTCTGTTGCAGGTACACCCCAGCTCCTAATCAGTTAGCTACAGTGAGATATCTAAACCCTACACAAGCATTAACAGGATTCTGGCCACACCTGTAACAGTGCGAGAAACTCAGTTCCAAGGGCCCTTAAATAAACACAATTATTTTTACTATTCCTTGGGTCCAATTCAGGGAAGTTGGCGATCCTTGTTTCAGTAATTTCAAGATTAATTATTGGAAAAGGTTCACATAGGATTGCACTTAAAAGGACTGCTCAGAGATCATACCTAGTGAAAAAGTATATAGCCCAGCTCTCTTCAGAAACATAGATGAAAAATAACTAACAATTTGAAATGATTATCTGTACTCGCATACAAATGCACATAGACACAGTATGTATCTACACCCATGTAGCATTTCAGAAACATTTAGAACTGAGTGATCCTTCAGTTGACAAACCTGATGTGATAGTGCTGCCTTTAAGGAAGGAAAAAATACCAATTTCCTATCCCTTGCAGAATGTCACAAATTCATATAATTTTATATATAAAACAACATTCATTAAAGTACAAAGAAGGGTGGACTGAGTTGTTACTACTATGACTCAGCACAATGTTACCCAACCTGAGAGCATGGACTAGAATAGTTTCTAAAGGCACTGATGTTTCCAATGTCCTACTTTGTGCAGGCCCAGATCTGATGTATGAGTGGAAATCTGTATCTTGCAGGGTGTCAACCACAGAGAGAAATCAAGAAAAAAGAGAAGTTACTTACCTGTAACTCTGGTTCTTCGAGTGGTCCTCTGTGAATTCACACTAATGGGTTAAATCTGCGCCTGCGCAGAGATCTCCAGAATATTCTATAGCTTTAAGCTGTTTAGGCAATGCACTGCCCCCTTAGCCCAAGAGGTCAGCCCGCCCTTGGAGTTACCTCGGTTCTGGTAACAACCCACTGCTGCATCAGTAGATACAGAAGTGACGGACAGAGGGGAGGATGGGCAGGAAGTGTGAATTCACAGAGGACCACTCAAAGAACCAGAGTTACAGGTAGGTAACCTCTCTTTCTTCTTCATGGCCTCTATGAATGCACACTAATGGGTGAATGACAAGCTTACCTTATAGGTGAAGGGACATCACTGGAGGATGGATGACAACACAGCTCTCCCGAAGGATGCATATGCTCTCGCTCTCAGGTCCAGTCTGTAATGTGCAGTGAAGGCACATGGTGTGGACCATGTGGCGGCCTTACAGATGTCCGGAATAGAGACCCTTCGGAGAAAAGCTGCAGAGGAAGCAGTTGCTCTAGTAGAGTGTGCTCGGACTTCATCAGGGAGAGGCTTTTTGGCTAGCTGATATGCCAATTTAATAGTTGATACCGTCCACCGAGATAATGTCTAACAGGACACGTATGATCCTCTATGAGGTGGATGGGGTGACACGAAAAGTCTCTTTGATTTTCGGAAAGAGGCCGTCCTAGACAAGTAAAATGCTAGGGCTCTTTTAGTGTCCAAGGAGTGATCGTTCCAGATGAGTTGTAGGTGCCAGAAAAAATGTGGGGAGTACAATGGGTTGCGAAAGATGGAAGTTGGAGATTACCTTGGGCAAGAAGGAAACATCCGGGAACAGGGTAACTTTGTCTGGGTGAAACTGTAGGAATGGCTTATTGATTCTTAGGGCTGCTAGTTCGGAAGCCCTTCTTGTGGAAGTGATGGTCACCAGGAATAGAGTTTTGAGGCATAGGAGGTGTTCCGACGTAGTGGCTCAAAGGGAGGTCATGAGAGATAGTGCAGGACGAGGGACAGCGACCATTGTGGGGTAGGTGGTGGAGGTGGAAGTCGCAGGTTGGTTTGAGTAATGGATGGTGGAAAAAGATGGCAGCTTCTGAGTCCTGCGGTTGATGAGCTATGATAGCAAAGAGGTAGACCTTTAAGGTGGGATAGAGACAATTGTTGATCGAACAGCTGTGAGAGGAATTGCAGAACAGCTTGCAAGGCAGTTAGTAGTTGGTTTAGATTACGTTGATTGGTGAATTGGAGGAATGCAGACCACTTGTACGAGTACAGTTTTGTAGTGGAAGGTTTGTGGGCATGCGCTAAGATGTTCGCTACTAAGGAATTATTCTCCAGGCAGTCATTGTAGAGTATGGAGATCTGGGGGTGACCTCTCCTGGCCTCCCCTTCTGTCCCCTCCTTTCTGGAGGGATCACGGACCGCACGGTTCCAACTTTCCCCAGGAGCTGTTGCCAGGGGCTGCTGGCTTCACTGTGATCAAGCTCTGCCTCCTCTGCTGATGGAGCATAGGGTTGTGAACCATGGTTGTCTTGGTCACCAGGGGGCAATGAGGATTACGTCTACCCATTCTTTCATGATTTTGGATATAATCCAAAGTATTAGCGGAATGGGCAGGAATAGGTATAGGAGATTCATGGACCAGTCTGCCATAAGGCCGTCTCCCAATGATCCGTGACCTCTGCCTGCTTTGGTCTACTGATGGAGCATAGGGTTGTGAACCATGGTTGTCTTGGTCACCAGGGGGCAATGAGGATTACGTCTACCCATTCTTTCATGATTTTGGATATAATCCAAAGTATTAGCGGAATGGGCAGGAATAGGTATAGGAGATTCATGGACCAGTCTGCCATAAGGCCGTCTCCCAATGATCCGTGACCTCTGCCTGCTTTGGAATAAAACAGGTTGCATTTGGTGTTTAGTGGGATAGCAAATATGACTACCTTGGGTTGTCCCCAGAAATTGCAAAGGTGTAGAAAAGTGGACTGATCTAGGGACCACTTGTGAGTCTGAGTTCATTTGCGACTGAGACAGTCTGCTACAAGGTTGTCATGTGTGGCTGTGTAGACTGCCACTGGAAAAATGTGACACTCCATGCGCCACTCCCAAAACTGTTCATTGTTATTTGAACCATGTTGCCCGTGATGATTGGCTCAAATGCTCTGCAAGCTTTGAAGATGGCAAGGAGTTCCAGGTTCTTTATATGGAGGGTAGCTTCTGTTTTGGACCAGGTGTTGTGAATGGAGTGGCTGTTGCAGTGTGCACCCCATCCTGTGGTACTCACATCTGTAGTTATTTGGATTGAGGGTTGGAGAGGGGCGAAAGGATGACCCATGTGTAAGTTGGACAGATTGCTCCACCAGAGGAACTGAGATGCAAGCTCTCGGGTGACTTTGAGGGGGTTTTATTTGAAGGTCCGTCATTGGGTCGAACAGGGTGAGATACCAAGATTGGAGGGACCATGTTTCAGTCTGGCATGCAGACTGGTTGACGTTGTCGACACCATGAGGCCTAGCAGATGCTGTGTGGAATGAGCGGTGACATAGGAGTCTGGGCGAAAGTGGTTGATGAGGGATTGAAATTTCAATATCCTTTCGTGTGGGAGGAACACTCTCGCTTAGATGGAGTTTAATACAGCCCCTATGTAGTTGATCCGTTGGGTGGGAATGAGGACTGATTTGCACGCATTTACCTGTAAGCCTAAATCTGCGAGGACAGAGAGAGTGATCTGGACATCTATGGCTGCTTGTCTGGGAGATGACAATACCAGGAGCCAGTTGTCTAAATAAGGGAAGACTGAGATTCCCAGGGTGCGGAGGTGGGCTGCCACGGGTACCATACATTTTGTAAAGACTCTTGGGGCTGTGGAAAGAACAAATGGCAGGGCTGTAAACTTGTAGGCTTGTTCTCCGACAGTGAAGCGGAGGAATTTGTGATGATCACGGTGTATGGTTATATGAAAATATGTGTTGCTTAGATCTATGGACGTAAGCCAGTGGCCTTGTTGGAGAATGGGAAGGATTCGTTCGAGGGTTACCATCCGGAACCTTCTGGCAGTTAGGTAATAGTTTAGATCTCGAAGGTCTAGGATAGGTCTTAGCCCTCCACCTCATTTTGGAACTGTGAAGTACCGGGGGGGGGAATCCTGTGTGTTGGTCTACAGGATCAACTGGAGAGATGGCGTTCTTAGAGAGAAGGAATTGGATTTCTTGTTGAAGGATACGGGATCGTGGAGGTGGTTTGCGGATGAACCCGATGGCGTACCCTGTTGCGATGATAGTAAGCACCCATTTGTCTGTTATGATTAATGACCATGAAGGTAGATGAGCAGCAAGACATGTTGAAGGTACTGGGAGAAGGTGGCTATTGGTGATTTGAGGGGTGTAAGAGTCAAAGGCTCTGGTTTTGCTTCTTCCCCAGGCGGTGAAAAGACTGCTTTGGCTGATGGCGTTGGAAGGTATTCCTGGGTTGATGGGATGTGGTTGGTTGGGCAGAATATTTGTTCCTATCATAATATAGTTTAGGTGGGTAGTACTGATGTGGGCGACACCATTGAGAGCGCTGTGGCCTATAGTATGGTTGGGTATTATATGAACGTGACGTTTTCTTTAATTTTTGTAGGTTTTCAATAATATCATCTGTTTTGTCGTCAAAGAGGCCAGAACCACTGAAAGGTAAGTCTTCTATTCCGAGCCTAACATTGTCTAGGATTTGAGCAGATCAGAGCCATGCTGTGGTGGCGCTGTGGGCTAAACCGCAGTGAGCCTAACATTGTCTAGGATTTGGGCAGATCAGAGCCATGCATACCTTCATAAGGCTACTGCCACCATTAGTTGTTGAGAGGAGGCATCGATGATGTGTCTGGCAGTGATTCTTTCCTGCCTAGCGAACACCATGGCTTCTTGGTGGAAAGCAAGTCTGCGTGTTTTATATTCCCCCGTAGCTGATTGGAGGGATGGGATGTTTTATTCCAAAGGTAATGGTGATATCCTCCGATTGCAGCCATGTAGTTTGTGGCATGGAGATTGAATGATGCAAGGGAATAGACCCTGCGTCCTGCAATGTCAAGTTTTCTACTCTCCTTGTTATTAGGTGTTGTAGAAAACCTCTTGTGGACTCTAGCGCCCACCATGAGAGAACTGGGTAGTGGGTGTTTAAAGAGGAAGTTGGTATTATCTCCATGTGTTTTATAGAAGTTTTCTACCTTGAGTGACATCTGAGGGATGGATGAAGGTTTTGTCCAGGTTTGATTAGCCAATTCCAGCAAGAAAGGGATGAAACTCATGCTAAGAGGTAGAGATTGTTGTGTATTAATGTCCTCGTAGACCTTATCTGACTGAGATTGTGAAGGCTGTTGAATGTCAAATTCCATTGCCTTTGCTATCTTGAGAATTAGTTGTGAGTAAGCAGAAAAATCATCAGACGGTGATGGTGGATTATGGGCGTTAAGAGTCCAAATCAGGTGTAGACAAGTTAGGTGGGGACTCCTGTAGATGGGAGGAGTGAGAAGAATTTGATGTCGAGGATTGGAGAAAGGGTGCTGGAGATGTTGGATAATATCATGGGGCTGTCAGTACAGAAGTAGTACAGTATGCTTTGATTTTGATGCTATTTGCTGAATTGGTACCAGGGTAGGTTGTGGTACCGGAGGGATATACTGTGGTACCGAAGAAGCATGATGTTTAGAGTGATCTTTATGTCTGGTATCTGATGGTTGAGTTGAAGTAGGTGGGACGTGCGTCTGTGTCGAGCATGGATGGGATTAAGGTGCCGCTACTGACGCTCGGGGTTTCTTAGATATTGTCAAGTGAGCATTGGCTGAATCAGCACGCCTCTTATGGAAGATCTGTTTCGGTACTGGAGATGATAGTATCGAGGCAGATTCTGAGATCGAGATCTAGGGTCATCCTGGTACCGATGATGGTATCGAGGAGAAAAAGACAAGTCCGAAGTGCCATAATCATAACAGTAGCAATGCCGGCAATGGTTCCGGTAATAATCGAGCTCGGAGGGATGGTACCGATGTGCTCAATATTGAGACCGTCCATAAATGGGTTCAGGGTAGTCTGGTGAATCGTAGAGCCTGACCCGTTTTGCATGTCTATGCTTTTCTGACGGCTCTCTAGAGATGAAGGACCCTAGAGATGATAGACTCATGGGTCTATCAATGTTGTCATCTCGATCCGTTAGGTGTCGTTCCTTTCTTGACCTCTTCCTGAGAGGAGAGGGGTGAGGAGCTGGTACAGAGTCATGGTCGCTGGGTGAGACCAAGTAAGCAGTAGAGACTGGGCTTGAATGTAACAATGTCTGTACCAGAGTCACGTCAGCAATGCCCGGTGAAATCAGGAACTGAGTCAGGATAGGAAACTCTGGTTGGGCAGAGGGGATGGTAAGTGTGTCCTCTGAGGAGTAGATTTGGATGGTAGGCTGTTCTTGTACTGGCAAATCTAGTACCGCTGGTTGTGGGCAAGCCTCAAAAAGTTTTTTTCTTTTTCTTAGGCTTAGGCTGTATAGAGACTGGAGAAGTTTTAGCAGTAGAAACTGCTTTCCCAGATGAAGTTACTTTGGATCTATGTTTAGATCGTTGGGATGCCTTAGAAGGGGTGGGGAGGCAACAACCAGAGGTGGAGGTAGATTTGGAGTCTCTAAATTAGACACAGCTTCCATGGTTAGAGGAGGCTGGAGAGACTTTTCCCAGAGGAAGAATCTAAGGTGTTGCTCTCCACGTTTTAGAGCTTGTTTGCTGAAGTTTTTACAGATCAGGCAGGAGAAGGGTTGATGCAATTCCCCCAGGCAAAACAAGCAGGATTTGTGGCCGTCATTAACAGCGATCTTATTAGGGCACGGTATACTTTTTTGAAGGGGGGGTGCCATAAATGCGGGAAGAAGCTAAAAACAGGGGAGTGGGGATTGGAGAAGGGGGGGTAGCAACAGTCTTATGATTGATGAAAAATAATGAAGTTGAAATTGTTCTTTTTAGGAGTCGAAACGACAAGGAAGCAGCAGCTCAGAAGAGGAGACCTCATGCAGCGGCGGCAAAAAAGAACTGAGGTAACTTTGAGGGTGGGCAGACCTTGTGGGCTAAGGGAGCGGTCCATTGCCTAAACAGCTTAAAGCTCTAGAATATTCCGGAGATCTCTGCGCAGGTGCAGATTTAACCCATTAGTGTGTATTCAGAGAGGCCACGAAGAAGAAGCATTCTTTTTGTCTTGCAGTAGGATTTCTTCAGTACACCCCCTCATCCTGTAATCTCCCAGGGAATTTCATGAGATTTCTTGCAAGTGTTTATTTTCTTCTGGAAGAAGTGCTCACTGCACATTATCATTACAATGCCTGAGCAGAATGACATCATTCCCGTGCAGAGGTCACCAGGAAAGGGCCAAAAGAAACAAGCTGGACAGGATTATAAAAAATATTTGTGCATATAAGCACCCTTCCTGTCCAGGATTTCAAAAAGGCCATGGAGTTGTGCAGAATTTGCTGGTTTCCTGTCCAAAATGGACAAGCAATGACCAAAGCTTCCTATCCTCCCCCTGCTCCCTCAAATTCTGAAGTTCCTCAGATCCCCCTTTGATCTGATGAAGCCTTTGAAAGACTCAGGATGTGGCGGAAGCGAGGGAGCTTCTAATATCCAAAAATTAACCTGCAGGTTGCTGGTGGCAGGATTGGGACCATTGGTGGTGATCCAGTTATGATTTTTGGATATTAAAGACTCCCAGACTCCTCCCCCCCTCCACATCCTAAGGACTCCAAATGCTTTGCTAGAAATCCTTGAAATGTGAAGGGGAGAATAGGGAGCTTTAAATTAAATTAATTTAAAGATTAATGTCACAGGCTGATGACAGCATTGCCATTTAAGCTCACGTAATCACGCCAATGAGATTCCAGCTAACCTGTATAAACTCCAGAGGAATTCTGGGGAGTCTACCATAACTTTTATGATATTTGCTTGCAAGTATATATATCATTAGATACACTTTTGATCTCCTCTGATAAGCAGCTTACAACTAATTTAAGGACTGCCGCATTTATACTAATATTACAAAATTGAAGGAAAGAATAGGACTGGCAGAAGGTTTTCAACTAACTGCAAACCTGCTTTCTGTTTTTCTTTATACTACTCGGCAACTACACCATGTTTGATGAATTTATTATAACATGAGAAGTGCTGATTCACATTATAAGAAAATGGATTAAGATGCATATTAATGATGAAGAAAGCTCTCATAGACGTCTGAACAATGAAATGTATTTAGATGGCATTAACAGATAAAATATGTGGCAATACAATGAATGATGCTGATTGGCAGCTCACTGTACAACAAATATATCAGAAAAAAGGAATGTTGTTATTAAAAATTTGAAATAATCAAATGGGATAATATTGTCAAAATCATATTACCTCACTGTGTTATCAGAAAGTTTCTGGAAGAGACAGTGAAGAGAAGGGGGCAAAAGAAAGGATCATGAATAAAAAAGAAAAGGGACTGGGAAGGAGGAGGAGAGAGATATATGTTGAAATATAATTTAAATAATTACTTAAATCCTAAATATGACTAAAAATTTGAAACTAACACTAAATGTCTTCATAAGAAAAAATATATGGTTTTGACTTTTCAGTGTGTTTTTAAGTAATATAGCACCACCGCACACAGGTACACATACAGCGGTCACAAAATGATATAAATACACAAGGGATTTTTTCCCCTTTTTTCTTCCCTTGACAACTTTCTGAAAGAACAGGAACTTTTGTAATGATGATGAGGCAGGCAGAGGGACAGCAAAACATCACCATTCAATCATAAATGAGGAAGTTCTTCCATTCACAGAAATACAGTGGTGCCTCGCTAGACGATCGCCTTGTGGGATGAAAAACCCGCAAGACGATTGGTTCTTGCGATCTCTATGATTGTCCTTTTCTTCCCTCATATTGTCTCCCCTACCTTGTTTAATGTTTTGCTATTTAAAAATTGTTTATACATATATATACCTCTTGTATAATTTTATGTTGTTAGCTGCCTAGAGTGGTCCTGACCCGACCAGATAGGCGGGATATAAATAAAATAAAATAATAAAATAAAATAAATAAATAATAAATGTGCTTTGCAAGACTTTTTTTTTTTTAGACGATGCTTCACAAGACTTTTTTTTAAAAGACCAATGCTTAGAACCTCACAAGACAATTTTTTCACAAGATGACGATTTTTGCGGAACGACAGGGAACCTCGCAAGATAAATTTTTCACAATAAGACAATTTTCGCGGAACAAATTAAAATCGTCTTGCTATGCACCACTGTAGTAGTCCACATACAATCTCATTAACTTACCTAAAGATGTCATAACTTCAATAGCTATTGTACAAACAATTAGATTGTACACCTAAATGTCCATGTGCATAAAAGAACTGTTCCCCAATCAAAGACTCAGAACCAGCATAAGCCTGTATATATGTGTTAAGGTGAGTAAATATGTAAGGACAGTTTTTACTGCTACCCCCAATGAACTAAAGTACTTTTACATCTGCTTGCCTTATCTACCTCAGAATCTAACAGCTATAACAACTGCAAGGGAAGTTCTGAATATGCATAAAGCTCATTGACATGCTTAAAGCAGCCACTTCAGATTGCACTCAGCATTTACCCATAGTCTTGGTTGTACTGCCAGCATTACCACTCCATCAATAATTCAAAGGTTTAGTTTTTAAAAATAACTACCTTGGTGTAGCTTTCTGGACTGTCTCTCGTTTATCATCTAAAGTACAATTTGTTAACCTGACCGAGGCATTCATTGACCCATCTGACAACATTTTGACAGCTGTTGATATTAATAACAATTTAAATTCTGCAAGTTTCAGACGACCATCTCGTTCATCCTGAAGTGAGAGCTGTTACAAAAAGAGAACACATAGTTTAAATTAATCTAAATTAATTCAATAAATAAAATGTTTCCCCAATGCATACTATAATCTCTACCACTTTTCAGACTTAGAAAGCCATATCATGGATTAGATCTAAAGACTACTAAATGAAAAAGGCTTATTTATGAGGACTCAAGTTGTATAAAGCTTTACTACTTTGAAAGAATGTATGTAATTACTAAGAAAGAATTAGTATTAATCTTTCACACAGAGAGAGCTAGCATAGTGATGGGAAGTAGCATAGTTCTCTACTGCTTAAGAGAATCAAATTGTTTTTATATACAGAATTTAGCAAGCTAAAAATCAGTATAGAAATAGTTCAACACAGTACATTCCTTTTACAGCCAGTCACAAATACAAACCATATTCCAGCCATTAATCTTTAAAGTTTTATTGTGCCATTAACATTTGAATCAACAATTGCCTATATTACAGTTTCAAAAAAACATAACTCTATATAGAATTCAAAACATTAATTCTTCAGGAGCAATTTCATGTATGGCAACATACTTTAACATTCATGGAATAAGAGCCTACACATTCTTAGAATTAAACACTTATAATTCTTAAAACATTTTCTGTCATGGCACTCCTGCATTGGCAACTCCTTTTATAAGTTTCAGATATCCTTAACTTTAGAAGACAAGTAAAATGTTTCCTATCAAGGCAGGTCTTTGGAAATGATTAGGTAACTTTATTGCTCCATGTTTTGTTACCTTCCTCAAGCCTGGCTAAAGTGTCAATAACTATTAACACCACCACCCACTCAGAATGGGTTGGATGTTCATTCACATGAGAGTGGTGCTATCTAATAAGTATGTCCAAAGAATACTTTTTTTGCTTTCAAAACCATACTACAGCTTCTTTTTAAATAGGCATACTCACTCACATGAAGTTTTTAACTAATGAACTGGTTAGATGAATGAGTAGGAGCCAAAGTTTTTAAAAAAATCCACTGGCTAACAGCTGCTCCCCACTTTAGAGTTCTGGAATGGACCAGCTGTTACCTGTAGCTGTGGCTCATCAAGTGGTCACATCTGCACAAAAACATCTCCAGAAACTTCCACAGACTAATAGCTTTCTCCATTGACTCAGGCTCCTCCTTCACATGTATCCTTTGGTGCCCCTTTAGTTAGAACTGCAGTACTGGAAGAAACCTATGGATCATTGAGCCCAACCCCCATCAGGGAGGCACAGTGGGGTATCAAATTCCCAACCCCTGTCTCCACAGCCAGATACCTAAACCACTGAGCTATGCAGCAGTTCTGTGAAAAGACATACAATAAATTGGAGAGTATCCCAAAATTTATTTTGGACAGGTACAACCAATAACCAGTCATCCGTGTATGGATACATGACTGTTCCTTTGGTACACAGTCTTGGGGGGGGGTCATACATTTTGGGAAGACTTTCAGGGCTAGGGATACACCCAAAGACAGGGCCTTGAAGTGGTCAGTCTGGTGCCCTAGAATGGTTGTTTGGCACTGTTCCCAAAAGTAACATTTAAGGCAGAGACTCAGATTTTGAGGCATACCTCAGAGAAGCTTCTACATACACTGCACTGACTATCAAAATAACAAACTAACCAATTCTTGTTTTACACAGAAACAATGAAAATGCATTTTGAAAAAATGATGAGAGAGAACGAGGCACTGGGAAGGAAAAATACTTCAGAATTTTCCCCATTCAGCTACTGACCTGGAAAAGATGCAACTGAAGAGCCAACTGTTGGTTGCTGAAGGATAGGCCTGGAGTAGCAGAGTGGTGCCAACAGAGAAAGCTATTAAGCACTAGAAATTTGAAAGATGGCTTTATACAGATGCTAAATCCTGGGGTGTGAGTCAAAGGTACCACAAAGAAAAACAATCTTTTTTCAGGACCTGAGACAGTTTAATCATATAGATGATGTCCCCTATGTCTAACTATTCATAATATAATACTGAGGAATAATAGCCTGGTAAAAAAAATATGTAAGTATACTGTCAGAATCCTATTATTTATGCCCACTAGTATAAAATGCAGCATCAAACAGCTCCTACTAAAAGATTAAGGAGTGTGACCAGTATGCAACAGGGAACACAACCTCTGACTTCTTCACTGGCAATATTTTGCTGCTGCAAATCCATGCCACTGGACTTACAATGGCATATGTAAGGAGGAGGTTTCTAGTCACTGACTTCATTTTGCATGATTTTTCCTTACCTGATTGGAATTTGGACTATACAAAGCAAGAGTCAGGGAATCAAACTGGAAGTCCAATTTTAGTGTGGTTTTAACCTTCACTGAAGAATGCATTTCCACCACAGCAGAAGTCACCACTGTAACTCCAGCTTTAAAAATATAAGACACAAAAATATTTACTATAATACAAAAAAAGAAGTTTTTTTCCTAATGTACTGAATTTTGAAAGAGATTACTGTCCCACTGAATACATTTAATTAAGTCATGCAGTTATGGCATTTTCACAAGAGCATGCAGTTTGCCAAAAACTGCTAAGATAAAAATATATCTGGATATTCAGACATTTTTTTAAAAAGAAAAGTAAACTGGCAGACTTTTGGAGTAATTTGAAAATTAAAAAGTCCCTGAAGTGACTTGTCTACATTAAACAAAATTATTTATTAATTAAAAATGAAAGCAGGGATCAATGTTTACAAAACCATTCAAGTCAAATAGAAGTTTGCTGAGATATGAAATATAATAGGAATGTATTCTGATACAGGAGAATAGGTATTATTTTCCTATGAGAGAAATAACTCTAGTTGATACTAACATATTTACAAAATCCTTCAGGCTGAAAAGAATTAACTATAATCATTATGAAAGAAACTACAGAATGTACATTAAGACCAACCACTGCACATTGATTATACAGTAGTCTACGATACTCTTTTAGATTTGCTTTTCTTATACAAATGTTAATGGCTTCTATAATTATTAACTTAATCCCCCTCTCCCCCCGCTGGACAGGTAGTAGTAGCTTAAGCTTTTAAATAAACACATACCCCCAGAATGCTGGGAAAAACTTGCTGCTCCACTATGGATACTTAGCAGATCTTTCTTTTCTGGTGCAGGTGGTGGAGGCCCAGAACTATCTCCTAAATTTTCATTCAGGGTCCTCAAGATAGTAGTAATGTCCTCCTGACTGAGAATCAGCTTTGAAAAAATTGAAAAAACACCAAGTATTAACACACCAAACATTATTTTATGATTTTAAATATTATTTAAGCTTGTGACGATATTATATATGAAAGTATTTATGCTGTATAGGCCTCCTATAAAGCATAATTAGTTCTTGTAAACATTTATAGGTGAGGATCCTACTAGTGTTCATGTGAGAGTTGTGTAACTTGCTGTGGTTATTTCCAGTTAATCAAGCAAGGTGCCAGAGTACATCTTGATTGTGCTATTGGCCATGTGATCAGGCATACAACCAAGATACATGCTGGTACCAGGTAAATGACCTGTGACAAGTTATGCAAGCTTAACACAAACACCAATAGGATAATCATCTATTAAATAAATAAATAAGGTGGAACATCCAGAGTTTTAGCCATTCCATTCCTCTTCCTCCCTCACAATTCCTTTCTAATTTTTTCAACATATTGTGCCTATGTATGTTCACTTTATACTGCACTGATGTTTAAAAATGGGACCTTTTTTCTTCACTCCTATGATTCTTTAGAACAGAGAGACCACATAGTTCTGCCCAATCCCAGCTACACTAAGATTTTCCACTGATTATCAGTGCAGCTTTCACTTCCTAAGAACATTAAAAACAACCTTTTCAGTATGAACTGTGAAAATGATCTGTCCCAACAATGTGATGGTTTTCTCAAAATATCTTTTGCTCTTTTGTTTGCTTTGTTCTAACCCCTCCCACTTGTCAGTGCTTGTCTCTTAATCACTGAATATTGCCTGCATCACTGAGTTTTTCTGGGAGTTCCCCAAAACTTTGAGACTCTTGGTACATTTCCTTCTCAAAATGGTAAACTGGTAATAGAGGATAAAACCCAGTACCAGCTTGAGAAGACCAACAAATTAATTTGATGTTCAGTCTCCCTGATGCTATAAGGAAAGTACTGTATATTCTCTCTCACTGTACAGGAACATGACTAACTAAAGACAAACATGAAAACATATACTGACTGCAGTTAACTTTTACAGTGGTGCCTCGCAAGACAATATTAATTCATTCCGTGAAAATCGCTGTTAAGCAAAAACATCGTCTTGCGAAACCCGTTTTCCCACTGAAATGCAATGAAAACCTGATAATCTGTTCCAATGGGAAGGGACTGTCATTGTAAAGCGAAAATTGCCATAGGAAACATCGTTAAGCGAAACGCGGTTCCCAAGCGAAGACAGCCGTTTAACAAAACAGAGACCATTAAAAGACTCGTATAGCGAAGCAAGACCAAGCTGTCAAAAACATCATAAAGTGAAAAACAGGAACCTAAAATTTAACCTTCTTGCGAGGCTAGGTCCCTAACATCATAAAGCGAAAATCGCCCATAGGAAACATTGTTAAACGAAGCACAAGATCGCTCCGAAAACCTCACTGTAAAGAGAATTCATCGTCATACGAAGCAATCGTCTTGTGAGGCACCACTGTATTTGTGCTATATAAACAAGAGGTTGGATCTAAACATCATGATCCTAAAACAACAGGGGACACCTTCTATTCACTGAAGAATATATTTTAATCCAATTCACAGTGTTTCAGCCTTCCATAAGAAACTGACCTTAAAGGTGGCTACTAAGGGGGCATAATTGTTATAAGTCTGTCAATGATGGGTTGTCAAGTAATACAATGCTATACCTTTATCCCAATTTAAGCCACAGAACTAATCCTCTTGGTGAATTATAATTCAGTAGTTCCTTATTGTAATCTGCCTTTAATTTATCTTGCTCCTGAATGACCACTTTAAAACAACAGCGTGCCAGCAAGCTGAAACAATGTTGATTGGATTCATCCATTTCATTCACTTTTATTATCTGCACTCTGCATTTCTCCCCAAGGTGGCTTACAGTTTTAAACCAGACAATATTAAACTCTAAAATACAATATATTATTAGAACATTAAAGAGAGATTGAACCAATATCTAATTAAGACTAGTACATAAAAATGGTTTAAAACAATTTTAAAGGATATTTTAAAAAATGAAAAGACTTAACAGCTTCATTTTTAAAGTCCCCTCTTAAAAGCAATCACTACTAGGGAGTGGATGTGTGCCTGAAGAGAAAGGTCTTTGCAGAAGGACAGCAAAGACAGGGCCAGCCAGGACTCACAGGGGAAGGAGTTCCACAGCTTGGGAGCAGCAACAGTTACAAAATGTGAAAAACAATTGAGTAAGGACCAAATGTAATTTCACTCTTTTGTTTAAATATAGTTGCAGTAACAGCTAGTATGGAACTAACTCTTCATTTTAGAAATATATTAAGTCCCATGCAGTGAAACAGTTTCTGCACCAAGTACTTACATTCATTGGCTTGAGGCGTCCAGATACTTTAATGTCAGGAATTTCATGATACCAGAGAGTAGCTAAATTACGTTCAACTGTAACTTCAAGATTTAATGGCTGTAGAAGCTGTACTTCATTTTGTAGTAAGCCACTCACAATGCTTGACCTATAAATGGAAAAATTCAGCATCCATGTACAGTTCGCAAAGCTAAATATAGAGTTGCAATATATGTAAGGTAGGCCAAAGACTGCAGCTTTAAAACAAACATTAAGCAGCAAATATTTTGTACCCATGCATAATCAGCAACTGCAGCCTATTTTATTTATATCCTGCCTTTTCCTAATAACTAGAATTCAAGGTAGCTTAGAACATGATTAAAAACAGGAACAGTTAAACACACAAGTTAAAATTTGAAATTATGAAACATGAAATTATGGATTTTTAAAAAAATAATAAAGAAGTACAGTGCTTATTGTTTAAAAGGCCCTTTCTCAGCAGCCACGGAACTTGGATGAATAACAGGTTTTTGCCTGCCAGTGGAAGGACAAATGGAAGGAGGCAGTGGAGGGGAATTCCCCAGCTCTCCACTGCCTCTGGTTACCTCACTATTATCTAACATATAAAGAAAAATTGGCCAACAAGAGCAGTTTCTTTGCAGCTTCCTCTTTCCTTGGCGACTGGAGCAGAGCAAAGTGTTTAGAGGCTCTGCCTTTGGCGCTAGGGATCAGCTGTGGAAGCTGGTACTGTGCAAACACTGCTTCTGGATAATGAAAAAAGGATGGGAAGGGAAAAAAGAGAGAGAGAAAACCTCCTCACACTAGTCTTTTATGCTACCTTCTTAAACATTCAGCACTATTTGTTTTACCAATTCAGTTCAGGAACATTAATTACAAAATCATCATAGCATTACCTGTACAGCTTTAGTTCACTCAACTTCACATGCATACTGTCAAGAATTGGTGGGACATTATATCGAAGTTTCGTTTTAACAAGCAGAAACTCATTCTTTACGGTGATCAAACCAAAATCAGCAACCAGAACATCAGTAGATATTGCTGATTGTGGAATTATTACAACAGGTGCTTTAATATTAATATCCAGTGCCATTCGGGAACTCTGCTGAGCCAATTCCTTTACACCAGTAGCAGCTTTCTCAGCAGCTTGAACAGTGGCTTCAGTAATTGCTTCCTTTGCTGTCTGAAAATTATTTACAAAAGCCTGGAAAAGTGATAACAATATATCAGCAACAGAAGAGGTGGTAATCAAGGAAATATTTTTCTGACCAATCATATATTTTAAATAATTGCCGACGACTCCTTCTTTGTCTGTGTTGGAATAGGATAGGGGTGATAAGAAAACACCTCAGTAATCACTCAATGCAAGTTTTTAAATTCAGTTGAATGAAAGTTAAAAAGAGGTGTGTTCTGCTCCGCAAGCTCTGTTTTAGAGTGAAACCCTCTTCACTATTTCACCACAAAACCACCCTCCTGCCTTATATGTATATTCTCTAAAACAAAGAAGAAAGTGTACTTTCAACTTACCAAAATAGCAGAGACAAATTTGTTGACAAAAATAATTTGAATGCATCCAACGGTTAAATAAATCTGGCTATCAACCGCATTCATATTTGTGTAAGAAACACCATCTGTGGCATTCATGTATGTCACCATTTTGAAACTGAAGACTTCTTTCTCAGTAATGTACAGTGCCTTTTGTGGGGGAAATTGTGTTTAATGTTAGTGTCATAATTTTATAGTTACACACAAAGTTAGACCCAAAGGAGCCACTCTATTCACAATGCATGTCCTTCTATTAACGAAAATGGCTTGGCACTAGTGGAGGCTTCTACAATTAGAACAGTTGGGTAAGGTGATTTTAACCCAACCCTGTTCGGCCCATGCTACCTCCCACCTACGCTTCAGAGCACATTCTCAGAGGAAAGGAGTATAAGATGTAAGGTAACACAGGGTACAATCTAATACAGTGGACCCTTGACTTACGGAATTAATCTGTTCTGGAACAGTGGCTGCAGGTCGAAAAGTCTGTAGTTTGAGGCTCCATTGACCTACAATGCATTGAAAACCAATTAATCCGTAACTGCCCATTTTTGTTCTTTTGGGGTTTTTTTTTCCGGTCTGTAGGTCGATTTTCTGGCTGCAAGTCGAACCTAAATTTTGCGGCCAGAGAAGTCTGTAACTTGAAAAGTCTGTAAGTGGAGCCATCTGTAAGCTGAGGGTCCACTGTATATCAGTACAAGCTAATACACATGGAGCACTTAACTATGATTATACACAGGGTACAATTTAATACATGTGTTGTAATCACAATTAAGTGCACCATGTAAGTACTGAATTTTGGACTCCCATTGTATATATCCACTGGTGCAAAACATATACCCAGGACCTGCACTCAGCAAGAGGGGAAGCATGAGATTAGTAGTTATCTGATGAATAGCATCTTTTATTAAACAAGACTATACCGACATATGCTTAAATAAGAACATATTTAAATCACAAATGCACTTTTTAAAAACAGAAATGAACACATACTGGCTGTTGCCAGCTAGGAAAAAGACAATATTTTAAAATTACCATTCATACCTTTTTATACAGTGCTGTCTTGTCACAATCCAAAATAATTATATTCTTTAACTTAGCTGATATTTCAGTTGTTTCTTTTTTCATCATCACCTGGCCATCAAGACCTAAATATAACAGTATCAATTAATTATTTTAATGTAACACAATTTCTCAGCACTTCTAGGGACGCATTTTACTCTTACCTTCAACACGAATTTCAGATATCCTGCGCTTCTGTTCTCTTATAAAAATGTGTAAACATGACATTTCTGCACAAACATGGAGGTCACAAACATCTTCACATTTTGATTTTTTTGAAGCTATGTGGAAGTAAAAAGCAAAATAAGTGAAACAATAGTAATAATACTTCCAATTAGAGATCTGAATTTCAATATAGAGTTGAGGAACTGTAGCCCTATAGATCCTGCTGCACTGCAACTTCTTTAATTTCTCACCATTGGCTATGCTGGACATGGTTAATGTGAGATATAAGCCAAAAATATTTAGCAGGCCACTTTTGCCTACTCCTATGGTAGACATTTGTACAAAGGCACAATTTCACAAGAAAAGCAATTAAACAAAGTAGAAATCTACACATAGTTTTTGTTTTCATTACGTTTGTTTCATTACATGTCTCATTGAACTCCAGTCACCAGTGTTTTCAAGAGTATTTTTCCAAAACCTCAAGTCTAAACATTTCAAAGAAATGTCTCTGTCAAGTCTTGTACTGAGGAAGGTTATACAAAGGCATAGCTTCATAATGGGGACACGGTCCCTTCAATCACTTGTTCTTTCTAATCCTCAAATCACACTTTGGAATCTAGTGTCAAATGTGAATGGCAGCTCTAGAAAAAATGCAGCTTTGTACTCGAGACATTTCCTCAATTTGTACAAAGTCATACATGGAAATAAAAAGGAAAAAAATTCTCCACAAATATTCTCCATCATCTATCAACATCTATACTATTGATCACTTAAAAAAATATTCCAATTTATTTTCATTCCCCACTGTGTATACATACACCACAATCATTTTAGGTGAAAGCTGGACAGCTGAATACAATTTAAAATTTCCAGTACTGAAGGAAACATTTATACAGTTACAGTGGTGCCTCGCTTAAAGATTACCTTGTTAAATGACGAAACCGTTTTACGATGAAGTTTTTGCGATCACTATTGCGATCGCAAAATGATATTCCTATGGGGAAAAATTGCTTAACAATGATCGGTTCCCTGCTTCGGGAACCCATTTTTCGCTAGACGACTATTTTAAAACAGCTGATCGGCGGCTCTAAAATGGCCACTCGCTGTGCAAAATGGCTCCACGCTGTGCTTTAGGACAGATTCCTCGCTTTACAGGCACCAGAAAATGGCCCCCCTATGGAGGATCTTCGCTGGACACTGAGGTATTTAACCCATTGGAATGCATTAAACTGGTTTTCAATGCATTTCAATGTTTTTTTAAATTTCTCTTGACGAGGATTTCGCTTAACAGCGATTTCAACGGAACGGATTATCCTCGTCAAGCAAGGCACCACTGTACTTAGAACAGTCTACAAATGACTATTCAGCAAAAACCAAACTGAAATGTAGTTAGCACTGACACAAGCTTGAAACAAACAAACAAACAAAAAACCTTACTCAGTTTCTTTAGAACTTCCCTCTTCTCTTCTTTTTCCTGTATAACCTCTACTGGAGCTGTCTCTTGTACTGGCATAAGATTATTTATAAAATTCATAGTGCTGAGAAGTGCTTCTGTATGTAAATGGATATCTATGGAAGAAAAATTCACCTAACAACAAAGTAACTTTAGTGAGAATATATTTTAATTATATATATTCTTGACATAGCAGTATTATATGAAGAAAACATCAGTACTACCTTTATCAACTGTAGAACATTCTTGTAAGTCGTTTTCAGTTCTGGAGCATTAATGTCTGCCTGTTACCAGAGGGAAAAAATATTAAAATTTGAAACATCATGCATATAGAACTATGTGCAAACTTTAGTGATACATGTTTATAACCAGATCCACAGTATTTTATCCTAACATATCCAGTCTCACAAACTAGCCCAAGTGTCTCTCCAGTCCACAACCTACTTTCTGTCGTGACAACCTGGCAAAAACTGAGGGAAAGCATAACAGCAGGAAACTCCTGTGTTGTTTTGCCTTCCAGATTAATGTGGAAGGCAAAACCTTTTAGCTATCATTTTTCAAATCTACCCTACAAGCCAGTGGTCACAACACTGAACAAGAATCTGCCAGGATCAGCTTTTGAGTTCATCCTTCCAGGAACAATCGCAAACATCACAAAATGGTACCTCCAAATCCCAGAGGCAACCCAGAAAAAAAAATCATGCTTGATGGTTTTAAAAAAACTGCTAAGAGATCTAGCAGAAACAAAAGAGACACATTCCTTTTGTTCAGTTCTCAATTTAGATTATAGATCAAGGCAACCAAAGCAGTTTCTATCCCGTAAACAGGCCTGAATTCAGAATAAAAAAGATCTTAATAAGCCATCCCATCAGCAACCCCCAAACTAGAATGCTACAACATGTTCCAACATTTTTGCCCACACATGGAGTACTGGAATATGGATCGTGATAATCTACTAAGGAAGCTCCAAATGGTTTATGCTCTCTTTAGGAATGTTGGAACACTAATTCACTAATCTTTTTACTCACTCTGCTATCCATCCCTAGCAGCTTTTATGAACCAAGTAGGGCAGAAGTCTGGCAACACACATACTTGCTCTCACCTCTCCAATATGAATTTTTATTTTTTTTATTTTTTTAATTTTTTTAATTTATATGCCGCCCACACTACCCAGAGGTCTGGGTAATGTAATAATAATAATAGTTGTTGTTGTTGTTGTTGTTATGTTCTGTCAAGTCAATTCTGACATATGGTGACTCTTTTTAGGGTTTTCTAAGAAAAGAATGCAGTACTCAGAAGTAGTTTATCATCCCCTTCTTTTTGTGTGTGTGTGTTCTCTCCCCCCCCCCCGGATTGTGGAGCTTGCCCAGGGGCACACAAGCTGGCTCTTCTTCTGCAAGTCATAGCGAGGAATCAAACTCCCAACCTTTGGCTCTGCAAACAGACACCTAACTCACCGAGCTATCCAGAAAGGTATAAAGACATTAGTCTGTGTCAATATTCATTTGCTGGTTCACTAAGTTCTTAGAGAATAAAATTTTACTATTTTCAAATACGGGTATATAAAAAGCCATCAGCAGAATGGTTAAAAGAATGGTGTGAAATCTTTCCCAGTACCTTTATGTATTCAATTGCTAGAAGATCATCCACCATATTATCCAGTGTTGAAATGATGTAAACTGGCTTGTTTTTATCATCTAATTAAAAAAACACCTTAACATTAGGACCTTAACAAAACAAACATTTCACATAATGTTGTATGATGCACAACAAAGGGCAAAACAACATCTTAACAAGCAATATGCTAATCACAGATAAGAACATCCCTACAAATTCTTTCAAAAACTGAAATAAATTGATTAGATGCATAAATCAGGCCAATAAAGTATTATTTTTATTGTAGAAATCATTAGGCTTCAAGGAAAACAACCAAAGCAGGAATTATCAACTGAGTCTGTAAAACTAGATAATATTTTATCACATGCGCCCTATGCAAACATGGATTTTAAATACAAAATAGAGTACTAATCATGATACTTACAGTGTTCTCATCCACCCACAACTCCCCTGAGTGATATAAGAGACTGGGGAAAGAGAAATTGTCACCTGGTACACTTTGTTGAGAAAAGGCTCTTTCCCAAGAAACCTTGATTGATACATATTTTGATGCCCTTCTGGGAGCACAGAAAAGGATCTTTTTATTTTCACAAGCCTTTTAACTCTCAATGGGACTGATTTTTATGATAATAATATTCTTTTTATCATTACCATTATTTTTAAAATATGTTTTAATTACTTTATTGCTTGTATATTTTCGGTAAAGTTGCCTGCAAATATTTTTATTGAGCAGAAAATGCAAGTTTGTAGAAAAAATGGAACAAGAATTTTTTTGTATTGGATTGTATCTGCAGAGATATTAATGGGCACAGAAAATAACCATTGTGAGCAGTAGGGTAGGCAATTCTTTATCTTGCACATACTGTACTAAACATCTCATAGATAGCAGTGCTGATAATAAAAGAGTGAGGTGATGTCAATTTCAAATGAAAATGGTGATCAGAGAGATCTACACTGACTACTCTAGTTTCAGGAGACAAGTGGGTTGCTTCTTGTGATCTTTTTTATTTGAGTGGTTTTCTATGCATTCACACTGATGGGTTTGCACCTGCACAGAACTATCCCTTTTGGATCTCTGGTTCATGCTCCAGAGTTTCTTCCCTCACTTAAAAATCTGATGACACAGCTGTCACTGTCATTAAACCATTGATGGTGAAGACAGGAGGAGGGAGGATCATGCAATCCATAGAAGATTACTTGAACAAACAAGAAGTATCCAGGTTTTCTTCGTCATGGTCAATATGCATTCAAGAGCTTACTGCTAACCATCAAGTGTGCCTGGCAGACAGAAAGGCACTTGGAGTTATTGCAGCATGGCTGATAGCCTTGCCAAAAGAAGCATCCCTCTGGCCTCTAATGTCCAACTGGTAGAGCTGTATAACTGTTGATGGTTTTGACCAAAGGGCAACTCTGTACAATTTCAGTAAGTACAGAGTAACAATGCCATCAAAATAGTCAAGCTCTTATGGAATGGCTCCTGAAGTTGCCAAGAAGTTTCTTATCCAGTTGGTAAGCCAGTGTAATTGCTTTAGCAATCCATCTAGCAAATCTCTGGGCTGAAATGGATTGTCCTTTCAAAAGGCCAGGTCAAATCCTTCATAGCATGAGGCATGGGGTACTGATGTCAGGATGAAGGGCTGACCCTGCACCCCTGAAGATGACATCTTCAGCAGAGAGAAAGCCAGCAGAAGACTCTGTCTGAGCTGAACTAGCAAATGGAACCAAGGATTCTGCTGCTATCAGGGTCCCACATGGCCTCTCAGTTCAGAGCTTTGCTACCACACTGGTTAGTTACAGGGATGACAGAAACAGAGATTTTTGTCCTTGTAGTACTGCAGCAGATTATCCATGAGGAAGCTCCTTCTGACCCTCAATTTGCTGTAGCACAGAGTCTTCTATTGCTCCTAGAAGTGAAAACATCAATGCCTGGTTGACCCAACATGCAGAATATCCTGTCAAGGAGATAAAGCCAATTTGTGCACACCCCTGGTCTGCCAGATGGTTCACCTCCATGGCACATGTACCACAAGGAGGATCATATGCAAAACAGCCAAAGACATAATGCTAGGTCTACCTGGTATCTCCTTGTTTATGTCCCATGCCATAAGGAGTTATCAGAGGCAACCTGCACTATGGAACCAGTAGGAATCCTGTGAAATGCTCTACAAGCCTACACCATCCATATTACCACCTTAAAGTTCACCATCAATACCAAGGAAACTACAGGCCATTGAACTCCAGAGGGAGCTCCACAACATCAAGCTACCTCATTCTATGCCAGTCCTGCCACCTCCAGTACCAGGCTCACCTACATTTTCAAGTCTGTAATAACATCAATACTAAATCAGTGGGTCCTTACTATAATTCAGAAGGGCTGTTGTAGAGAGCTTGATTTTCAGCTGCCAATAGATGTTTTTGTTTGACTGCACCAGAAATATCTGTCCAAGAAAAAGTGAAACGTCTCGAAAAGAGTGCTGGAGAACTGGTACTGACTAGCCCCACTGGGAACTTGGCTTGGTATTACACGTTACTGAAGAAGACTGGATGGTTTTTGTCATATTTTAGATATTTGAGGCATCAGTGCTAATGTCACTACAAAATATTCTTCCATGATGACCTTCACTGATCTTCCCCTTCTGAAGGAAAATGTTTGATTGGTGACAATAGAATTGAAAGATGGCTTTTTTCACATTGCCATACATCTCTCCCATTAGAAACACCTCAAGTTTTCGCTGAGTGAAACTGATTTCATTAACAGATGCTCCTATTTGGCCTTTCAAGAGTTCCAAGGGTCTTCACCAAGACCTTGGCAATACTTATGACATTCCAGAGGGGAGAAGCTATAATCCTCTTTCATTACACAGAGATGGGTTACATCTGGCTAGTTGCAGCCCAAACCAAGTCACTCCTATAAAACCATGTTGATACTATAGTGAAATATCTCAACAATCTGGGCCTCTGAATCAGTCAGGATAAGTCATCTGCATCACTTACTCAGGAAATTATTTTCATAGGGGAAGAGTAACAGACTGGCAAGCTGTCAGATAGTATTATAGACCATCCAATAGACAAAGTTGTCCATCTCTTGAAATAGGCCCATGATGTTCATGGTCTTGATACCTCATTTTGCCAGACTCCATGAGACCTCTGTTGTCCTGGCTACTGAAGTATCTACATCCCAGTCTCTAATTTGAAAGGAATGCAGATTACAGTAATGTCAGGAATTCTTCTGTCCTTGGAGTGGTGAAGAAATCTCAGAACTTGCTTCAAGGCATGCCCTTCCAGCGCTACCTCCATTACTAACCCAAAGAAGAACTATCAAGAAAGGCAACAGGGATGGCACGAGGAGGAATCACTAGTGGCTGCTGCAGGGTTTCGTATGGTTGCATGGAAATAATTTCTTGCATCTCCACTGATGGAACTGCCAAAGTAGTTATTGGTGAAAGAGCATCCTCCTTTCTCTTCTTTACAGGCAGATCAGAAAGCTGGTCTCTCTTTAACTTAACCATGTCAGAATATAGAAATTTTGTAGGCCTGAACCTGACTAAATGTATTATTAAGGAGCTGCCATTGTGCACAGATGTGAGTATGCTGAGTCACTCTGAAAATGATGCAATGTCTGGAAATAAGAAGACACCAGGTGCAGAAGATGAAGTCATGTGTCTTCTGATTGGACTAGAAAAGCCATGTATATGTATATAAGTGGACAGTGTCTGTGTATCATTCTCTTCTTTCTTCATCATTTGCTGCTATCCACTATGTCAGTTTGTGTAAAGAGTTCCTGCCATGCTGATGTGATGCCTGCCTGTAAATACCTGTAAATACTTGTAAATACAACCGTCTTGCATAAGAACTTGTACGTGTCTTCAATAACTCTGCGTTTTTCCTGTCGCCAAATCCGTGACAGACCACCTTTTTCTTCAAAGACAATGGAGTCAATAGAAGATGGTTTGCCTCACTGAGCCAAAGCCAATGTCAAGTGCACTGATGATGAAGCAAGACCTAACTGAATTATCAAAGAAGTGGCTATAACAACAAATGAACTTTCAGGACCCTCGGGCAGGAGTCTCGGGCAGGAGTCAGGGATAAAGGAGAGGGAGGAAGAAGGAAGCACCTGCTTGGATGACACAACAGTATCTGAATCAAGGAATGGAAAGACACAAAAGAAGAGTGGGACCCCACTTTGTGTCTTGGAGAAGGTGGACTATACACTGGTGCAGAACTCCTGGACAGTGGTCTAGATAGAGGTCCCCATTGTTAAGCGGACAGGATGCAGCAGATGAGTTCCCATCTTCAGCCCAACAGCAGCACTGTCTCCACCATCTATCCCTTTGAGGGCACCCAGCTACTATCCAATGAAGGCATAGGTGCCAAAAAGAGCACCAGATGCTGCAACAAGAGATGCTGAGGAATCTAACTGTTGGTGAGCAGCTTGACTGACAAACAGCCTCTGTGATGGATCCTGAGATAGTAACACCTATAGATGTTGTAGTTAACAAAGGCTTTTCAAACAGATGAGACTTCAACAGAACACTTTTATTTATTCTTATTTTGGAATTAAAACTCAAACATATTCTACATAAATTACCTCTGCCTATGTCTCTAAGGCAAAAAAGGCAGCTGTGTGATTTTCCCCACAACACTCCAAACATAATTTGAAGAAAAAGTCAGGGGCCCATAGATCTTAAGGAAGAAATAAATGTTCAACTACTAAATTTCTAAAAAATAAACAACAAGAGCGACTGTAAGTAACTTTTAAATAAACCAAGTACAAGAAAAATGTAGTGGCTCCACTAACAACAGAAGGTAATCATTTTCAAGACAGAAAAACTCAGGGTGCAGTCACTGGGACAGATGACGTAAAACTGAAGAAAGAAGCACTAGTGTTTGTGCTTAGGGGGAGGGGGAGGACCAAAAGTCAAAAAGCTCTCAGTATCAAGGATATGAAAGGAGTAGCCCTGCACAGGTGCAATCTCATCAGTATAACTGCACAGAGACTACAACAAAAAGAATCTATTATGAACATGATAGTTGTGCAGAAGTAATTAAGTTTCCTCAGATTTAAAATCAACCTTCCTAAGATAAAAGTGAACATTAATCTTTTAATTGCACTTTAATATTAACCTATTCAAGGGCACTCAATCACTGTAAAGCTCAGCCTTTTACATAGCAACATTCATAACAAATATGTCATTTACAGAAGTAGATTGGGAGAGTTACCTTCACCCAACTTTCTGATCACATGAATTATTTCTCACAGATAGCTAGATTATGAAATTAAACACATCAAACGAATGGCTTTTTAATAGTTTAATACTGCATATACTGAAGAGCAGGTCTTCTTGCAGGCACGGACAATTCAGTGTATGCCTATACATATTAGTATTGTGCATTCACTCTTAAGTCCATTCCACCTATTTTTCATCAATCTGAAACTCCACTCTCAACCAAAATATAAAATATTTATTTTTATACACAACTTCTACAACATACAAATTTAATACATATCTCTCCATGGCAGACATTATTTTTGTATGCAAATTCTGAGGTAAAAAACGCACACTGCAAAATTTGTAGAAATGGTCTCTCTACCTGAAGGATAACTGTTCCATATGCCAATTAATCCAAGGCATGCAAGTTACATTAGTTTTCACTTAAAAAAGAGGACCAAGTGAATTTATCCTCCATCCCAAATAATGATATTTCTCATCAGCAAACCATTATTTTAAAAGAAATGCACTTACCCATATATTCTGGACATAATAAGCAAATCTCTCTAAGAAAAGCAGTAGCAGTCATATCATATGTCCTTAACTTAAGCTCAGTGCCCAGCTTTAAAATTTCCAGGCGAAGAATCGGTTTTTCAACACCTTCTATAAGACGACACACTTGAAGGAACACCTGTGCATAAAAACAATACTGGGACAGTGAGTCATTTATAATCATTCCAATGCTAGGCAGGTATTTATTCATTAATTTATTATGTGAAATACACAATCCTTCATTTCAGAGCAAAGTCCTTCAAAATATGTTTATAAAGCTCAATAAACATATGTGGCTGAATCATATCAATTCATACACACAACAGAAACTTAACAGTACAATCAACTTGGAATGCTTCTGGTCTACCCCAATACTGTACCTTTTCCCCATCCAACTTCTGATCCATTCTCCTATATCAATCTATTAAAGCTCTATTTGCTATGGCTCCTCAATAATACCACCCTTTCCATTCCCCTGCTCTGTAACCTACAGCTAGTGCCTGATAAAATTGGGATGGAGCTTGCAGAGAGGAGGGCCTGGGACACCTGAAGCTGATTGTGAGGGGGTCGTTCCAGGTGCCACTAGTGGGCTGTTGTCACCCCCACCCCCCAAAAGGCCCCTTTAGAGTCTATAGCACCAGTGCTCCAGGAGGGCACAGAGCCTGGAAGGTAGGCTCCAAACAAAATAGAGGATGAGGGAGATCATGAGACCCACGTGGGCAAGGAGGTAGGGTCCAGGTCCCTCGGGCAGGAGTCAGGGATAAAGGAGAGGGAGGAAGAAGGAAGCACCTGCTTGGATGACACAACAGTATCTGAATCAAGGAATGGAAAGACACAAAAGAAGAGTGGGACCCCATTTTTGTGCTTTGGGGAAGGTGGACTATACACTGGTGCAGAACCCTTGGACAGGGGTCTGGATAGAGGTCCCCATTGCTAAGCGGACAGGATGCAGCAGATGAGTTCCCATCTTCAGCCCAACAGCAGCACTGTCTCCACCATCTATCCCTTTGAGGGCACCCAGCTACTATCCAATGAAGGCATAGGTGCCAAAAAGAGCACCAGATGCTGCAACAAGAGATGCTGGAGAATCTAACTGTTGGTGAGCAGCTGGCAGTATAAGATTTCACTGTAGGATAGCTTGAGAAGGTGTTGAAGACATGGGACCATCAAGACAGTGGGCACTGGAAGCACAGATGGAAACACAGAATCAGAAAGAGACTGAACTTGTCTGAGGGGCTAATAGAGCTAACTCACCTGCCCGAGCACATTGATGGCGCAAGACATGACTGGCACCCTATATTTTCTTGTAGCTCATTACCCTACATTAATAAAGTTAGATTAGATTAGATTAGATTAGATTAGGCATCCTTCAGTCTCGAAAGACTATGGTACCGTGCTATGTATAGATGTCGTGGATCAGCATCTACTGTCGCTGAGAAGTCCATTTCGAGAGTGCCAATCCCTTCCACTCTGAAGACAAATACAATCTATCCCCTATCCTGCTCCCTGGTTTTGCTGCTTTTGGGACTGCCTCTTTGCCCCGGCCTGCTGGACAAGGGTCTCTTCAAATTGAGAGAGGCCATGATGCACTGCCTGCCTCCAGGCTGAACGCTCAGATGTCAGGGTTTCTCATCTGTTGAGGTCCATTCCTAAGGCCTTCAGAATCTGCTCGCAGATATCCTTGTATCACAGCTGTGGTGTCCCTCTGGGCCAATTTCCCTGCACTAATTATCCATACAGGAGATCTTTTGGAATCCGACCATCAGCCATTCTCATGACATACCCAAGCCAACGTAGACGTCGTTGTTTCAGTAATGTACAAATGCTAAAAATTCCAGCTCGTTCTAGGACTACTCTATTTGGAACTTTGTCCTGCCAGGTGATACCAAAAATCCAATGGAGACAACGCATATGGAACGTGTTCAGCTTCCTCACCTGGCGTGCACAAAGAAGCCAGAAGGACTCACTGCAGTACAGGAATGTGCTCAGGACATAGGCGCTATAGACCTGGATCTTGGTATAGGCCATCAACTTCTTATTAAGCCATACTCTCTTTGTGAGTCTTGAGAACATGGTAACTGCTTTACCAATGTGTTTATCCAGCTCGACATCTAGGGAGAGAGTGTCAGAGATTGTTGAGCCAAGGTACACAAAGTCATTAACAACCTCTAAATCTTCTGTGGAGATGGTAATAGAGGGAGGCGAGTCCACACACTGGCCGATGACTTGTGTTTTCTTCAGGCTGATTCTTAGTCCAAAGTCTTGGCAGGCCTTGCTAAAACGATTCATGAGTTGTTGTAGGTCTTCAGCAGAGTGGGCAACAATGGCTGCATCATCGGCGGAGAGGAGGTCCCGTATGCATTTCAGTTGGACTTTGGTCTTCACTCTCAATCTAGAGAGATTAAAGAGCTTTCCATCTGATCTAGTCCGGAGATAGACACCTTCTGTTGCACTTCCAAAGGTGTGCTTCAGCATGACAGCAAAAAAACATCCTGAACAGGGTTGGCGTGAGGACACAGCCCTGTTTCACGCCACTTCGGGTGTCAAAGGGATCTGATGCTGAGCCATCAAAAACTACAGGGCCCTTCATTTCCTCATGAAAGGACCTGATGATGTTATGGAGTCGAGGTGGACATCCAGTCTTGGGAAGTATTTTAAAACGGCCATCGCTGCTAACCAAATCAAAGGCCTTTGTGAGATCTATGAAGGCCATAGAGTGGCTGTCGTTGTTCCCTACATTTCTCCTACGGCTGTCTTACTTTAATAAAGTAATGTTCAAGCAACTCAGGAGGTCTGGAATTTATGGAGATTCTAATAGAGGAAGGTTTCATTGTCACCTCTGCCTTGGGTGGGAGCAGCAGCACTCACATTGACAGAGGCAGTTTTCTTCCCATTTCCCAGGGCCTGGCAAAGGACTTTTGTCTTCTGGCTCTTTGCCCAAAGCCTCTAAATATCATATGAGAGCACAGGAATGAAAGACAGGTTGCCTGTCTGTAACTGTGGTTATTTGAATTGTCATATGTTCATTCACACACAGATAATCTGTCTTGACCATGAGCAGTCACCTCAGAGTCTTCTAGAGCAAAAGGAAATGTGAATTTGTTTTGGTAAGAGCCCCGTCCACCCGCCCGCCCGGTAAATATAAGGGCCTCCCACCCAAGCCTCAGTCCCAAAGTCTGTTGTGAAAAAAAGGGCAGCTCAATGGAAAGGAACTTCCTGTGGTTAGTTAGAGGAGAGGAGGGCAGGATGTGAGAATGTACAGATGACCACACAAAGAACCACACTCAGAGGCAGACATCCTTCTTCATCATGCATATGGGTGATCAGCAAGCTATCTTACCAGGTAGAGGACACACCAAATTGCTGTTGACAGGACTGCAGTGCTGAAAAGAAACTCTTGGAAAGCCCAAGTCTGTAGTGGTGCACATAAGTCAGTGGTTGGACCAGATAGCAACCCTGCAGATTGTATCTAGTGGCATATCATACATCCAGTGCATAGGTAATGCAACCACCCATATAGAGTGGTCTCAGATTCTAGGCAGACACAAAATATTAATTTTTAATATCTGTAGCTGCCACTGGAGAGTTGAGATAAGGCAAAGATCCTACTTCATCACAAGCTAACCTACCATCTAACAATTTCTCTGCCTGAACAGATGGAGGTGGTCCAGAGGTGAAGATGTCAACACATACCTTTTGCTCGGAAAAGCCCAGAATTCTGTCACCACTGTGAAATCCATAAGTACTTTTCACTACCATAGGACTGGACATACTAGACTTTTGGTTTCTGTCACTTCTTAGCAGGGAAGCTAAAAATAGCTCTGTTGTAATGAACAGATCAAGCCTGACTTAATGGCGACTCTTATCCCTTAGGGCAGTGGCCCCCAACCTTTTCCCATCCACAGACCAGTTGGGGGTCCGGGGGCTGTGTGTGTGTAGTATCTCCCATGCTTGTAGGTGGGGTGAGCGCTCACGGGTAGCGCACTTGCACACATGCATGGGGGGTGGGGGAAGTGCTCACGGGGCGGGGTGCACTCACGCACATGCATGGGGTGTGTGGGGTGTGCTCACAGGTAGGCAGGGTGTGCTCACAGGGAGTGGGCGCTCGCATGCATGTGCAGGTGCAGGGGATGTGCTCACGGGAGTGGGGTGTGCTCACGCTCATGCACGGGGGAGTGCATGCGGGAGGCGGTAGATCTGTCTCCGCAGCCTGGTCCTGAAAGGGCCACGGCCCTCTACTGGGCCTCAGACCAGGGGGTGGGAATCCCACCTCAAGGGAATAAAATTTCAATAGTCCACCTCCAGAAACTAATAGATCTGAATGGTTTTCTGAGTCTCTTGGGAATCTGCGAAAGCTCAGTTCTCTGCTTAAAATGGGTGTGTTTGAGCATTTGACATCAGAGCTCAAACAGATATGGTTGCTTTATCATCAGTGCAATCTATGAAATGCCTAACGAGGTCTAAAACCATTTTTCAGGTAGAAAAATACATGCTCTTTCCAATGATAAAAGATCTTCATATGGTATTTATCCACATTTTGCTATGTAATTTTGAAATGGTCTGATGACTTATTTAATAATAGAAAAAATGTGCTTAGAATAGGAAAGTACCTTGGGGTATTAATGAAATAGTTAGCAAGCATCCAAAATCCTATTATTGGGCAGTTTTACAATGTTGATATTCCAAGGAACTAAGCTGACTCAACAGCCACAGCACAACAAACCAAACTAAATCAAATCAAATCAAATATCAACAACTTTGAGATAAGTGTATTTTAATACAACTAACAAACATCTTAGGCCTTACTCTGTGATAACAGCAAAGAAATTTTATTTCTCTGCCACCACTGCATTTGCACAATAGAATTCTCCAAGAGCTACATAATCTGCTCTTTGGAGGATCATGACATCAAATTACAGTAAATCCTCAAAAGTTCATTATGAAGAATTTGCATTACATTCTGCAAAGAAAACTGCTCACTTTCTTTCTGATTTGGATGCCACCATTTTCATACAGTCAGGGTTTTATCCAGTAATATTGTTATAGACAGCCTGCAGCATGTACAGCCTAATAACATTCAGAAGTTATTTGGTGACCTGAAACCACCAGATTTTCAAATCTATGTCTTCCTTATTAAAGTCTACCAAGACTGCACTAACCATCTGAACTAAAGAGGAGCTTCATACCTACTTGAAGGAAGTTTTGACTACTTCTGCACTTAATAAGGAAATCCTTAAACTAATTTTTGGGGGGATTTGGATTAGCTGATTCTCAGTATCATCTAGTAATACACAATTCTTCAGTAACACAATGGAAAAGGGGTAGCTTCACCTCTTAAATCAGTCTTCCCTAGTGTTTAAACAAATGAAAAGGAAATACAAAATACTGAGGAAAAAGCTCCAAGACCATGAAACACTGAAATGTGTTAACATGATCAATGGGTAGCATTTGCTGATACAGCAAATTGTTGATCTGGAACTTACAGTTTCGGTAATTTACACTGGCAGCATCTCACCAGTCTGACAAAAAAAAAGCAACTATTTCTCATAGCAACAAGTTGCTAGTCTAGTAATTAATGGGATTCATACTTCATAATCTCTCTAAAAGCAATAGAAATGTTTATTACATTTGTTCTGTCCATTTATAGAGTTCAGCAATTTACTACACTGGTAAAATTCAGCTGTTAACAATTGAAGGAAATATCTGAGAGCTATATAAATATAAGTAGACAAGAGACATATATATGCCATGTTACACACCACACACATCAGATACCAAAAACATAAATGCCAGGCATGACTCGCCAAGAATCAGGTGGGAACAGTAGAGACATCATGGATTTCCTGTCAGCTAACTGGATCCTGTTAAGCTAAAGCCGAGAGTATTGTGGATTGGGAAACATGCTGATTAGAATGGAGGTATGCTAACAAGGTTGACTGGAGTTGCAATTCTTCTGAAGTACCAAGTTTACAACCTAAGAATTTTCTTGGACTCAGCACTATCTATGGCTGTGTAACTATTTCAGGTAATTCACTACCTAAATCTCTATGTGGAGAAGGTGGATGCTACAATAGTCATTCCTGCCCTGGCTGATTTCAACCTGGACTACTGTAAAGTGTTCTTTGTGTGATTACCTTATAGGATGGCGCACAGTACAACAGTATTGTTGTTGTTTAGTCGTTAAGTTGTGTCTGACCCTTTGTCGTTAAGTTGTGTCTGACCCTTTGCGACCCGATGGACCACAGCACGCCAGGCCGTCCTGTCTTCCACTGCCTGCCAGAGTTGGGTCAAATTCATGTTGATAGTTTCAATGACACTGTCTATCCATCTCGTCCTCTGTCGTCCCCTTCTCCTCTTGCCTTCACACTTTCCCAACATCAAGGTCTTTTCCAGGGAGTCTTCTCTTCTCATGAGATGGCCAAAGTACTGGAGCCTCAGCTTCAGGATCTGTCCTTCCAGGGAGCACTCAGGGTTGATTTCCTTCAAAATGGATAGGTTTATTCTCTTTGCAGTCCAGGGGACTTTCAAGAGTTTCCTACAGCACCACAATTCAAAAGCATCAATTCTTCGGCGGTCAGCCTTCTTTACGGTCTAGCTCTCACTTCCATACACTGCTACTGGAGAAACCATAGTTTGATTATGTGGACCTTTGTCAGCAAGTGATATCTCCACTTTTCACGATGCTATCTAGGTTTGTCATCACTTTCCTCCCAATAAGTAGGCGTCTTTTAATTTCGTGACAGCTGTTACCATCTTCAGTGATCATGGAGACCAAGAAAGTAAAATCTGTCACTGCCTCCATATCTTCCCCTTGTATTTGCCAGGAGGTGATTGAACCAGTGGCCATGATCTTAGGGATTTTTTTATGCTGAGCGTCAGACCATTTTTTGCACTCTCCTCTTTCACCCTCATCCAGAGGTTCCTGAAGTCCTCCTCACTTTCTGCCATCAGAGTGGTACTGTCATCTGCATATCAGAGGTTGTCGATATTTCTTCCGGCAATCTTAATTCCGCCTTGGGATTCCTCCAGTCCAGCCTTCGGCATGATGTATTCTGCATATAAATTAAATAAGCCGGGGGACAATATACAGCCTTGTTGTACTCCTTTCCCAATTTTGAACCAATCAGTTGTTCCATATCCAGTTCTAACTGTTGCTTCCTGTCCCACATAGAGATTTCTCAGGAGATAGATAAGGTGGTCAGGCACTCCCATTTCTTTAAGGACTTGCCATAGTTTGTTGTGGTCAATACAGTCAAAGGCTTTTGCATAGTCAATGAAGCAGAAGTAGATGTTTTTCTGGAACTCTATGGCTTTCTCCATAATTCAGCACATGTTAGCAATTTGGTCTCTAGTTCCTCTGCCCCTTCAAAATCCAGCTTGTACTTCTGGGACAACAGCATAGTTGTCTGTTAAGTGAGGCAGAGTCAAACACTGATTCTGTGCCAGCTCCACTGATTTCCAGTGTTTTTCTAGGCCTTGTGTGAAATGTTAGTCACTTTTAAAGCCCTTAACGTGTTGGGTGAGTCTCTGGCAGTTCCAAATAAAGTTGTCTTTCTTTGTGTCAAAAGCTCCATAAAACAATGAATAGAATGTAATATAAATTTAGGCAAGAGTTTGGTTTGCAAAAATCAAATTGTAAAGCTTCAATAAATACATCAGATATTTTCTCTCAATAATGGGCAACATCAAGAACACATGGGATAACTAGAACCAAAAATTTCATGGTACACACTAAGAGAATATGGTGCAACAGGTGTGAAGTTGCATGTCTTTCTCCACACTGATGAAATAATGTGTTGGTGCAAAGACAAAAACCCACATTTTCTTAGGTATACCTTGATTCTGTTAACTCCAGAATAAGTGAGGTTGTGAAAGGCATTCTGAAACCTAGAGAACTGATACTAGTGGATGGGTGGGGAAGATACTGAAGTGTATATAGAAACAGAGTGCCTCAGCAATTTTCATTGACTGCTATGGCAAGTACCCCAATGCATTTTCCTCAGGGTTGCCTTCTCCCAAAAGGTTTCTGAATGACACAGAACTCGCTGTCTATAGTGGCAAGGAGGTAGTAGGATGACTTTGCTTCCACTTAGCAAATTCTGAACCCAATCTCAATATATACTATGGGGAGAACAGGTAAGGACAACCACAGGAATAGTTACATTATTTTTGAAAATGAGGCAACTACCATAACAAGAATGCAGCATAGTTGAAGGATGGAAACTATTATTTTAGAATCAGTCGTGAAGTGACATGCAAATAAGACTACTGTGGAAGATGGTAAAATCTCTGTTACCTCAGATATTTCAAATCTTAGCTGGAAATCAATCATATTCTTCAAAGATTCTCGTCTTGTGATCTTTTTTTTTAAACTGCCCATCTTGGTTAAGGAACCTGAAGATGCTTCAAAAAATGGCAAGTCTTCCACAGGACTACTCAGGGCATCAAAAAATTCATCTTCAGATTCTGAAAATAGTTTAAATAATGATGGTTATTAAAATGTTCACATGGTAATCCAACAAACACATCTGTGTAAAATGTATATGTATCTGCACTATGCTGTTTTTGCATCAGGAATAGTTGATGTATTGGGTATCAATACTTTCACTCTCTAAAACAGAAGGTGCTACTTTAATTAGATAGTTGTATGTGCATATGTTCTAATGCAATACCAAAGATATGACGCCAATAGAGTGGACTAACCACCTGTGTCTTCCAAAGAACAGCAAGGAGAGACAAGAGGGCCTTCTTAAATGAACAGTGCAAAGATATAGAGGAAAATAACAGAAAAGGAAAAACCATAGATCTGTTCAAGAAAATTGGAGAAGGAACCCTTTGTGCAAAGATGGACATAATAAAGGACAAAAATAATGGGGACCTAACAGAAGCAGAAGACCTCAAGAAAAGGTGGCAAGAATACACAGAGGAATTATACCAGAAAGATCTGGATGTCCTGGGCAACCCAGATAGGGTGGTTGCTGACCTTCAGCCAGACATCATGGAGCGTGAAGTCAAGTGAGCCTTAGAAAGCATGGCTAACAACAAGGCCAGTGGAGGTGATGGCATTCTAGTCAAACTATTTAAAATCTTAAAAGATAATGATGTTAAGGTGCTACACTCAATATGCCAGTGCGTTTTTGTAAAACTCAGCAGTGGCCAGAGGATTGGAAAAGTTCAGTCTACATCCCAATCCCAAAGAAGGGCAGCACCAAAAATGTTCCAACTACCATACAATTGCACTCATTTCACACGCTAGCAAGGTTATGCTCAAAATCCTAGGTAGGCTTCAGCAGTATGTGGACTGAGAACTCCCAGAAGTACAAGCTGGATTTTGAAGAGAGAGAGGAACTACAGACCAAATTGCTAACATGTGCTGGATTATGGAGAAAGTCAGAGTTCCAGAAAAACATCTGCTTCATTGACTACGCAAAAGCCTTTGACTGTATTGACCGCAACAAACTATGGCAAGTCCTTAAAGAAATGGGAGTGCCTGACCACCTTATCTATCTCCTGAGAAATCTCTATGTGGGACAGGAAGCAACAGTTAGAACTGGATATGGAACAAATGACTGGTTCAAAATTGGGAAAGGACTACGACAAGACTGTATATTGTCTCCCTGCTTATTTAACTTATATGCAGAATATATCATGCGAAAGGCAGGACTGGACGAATCCCAAACCGGAATTAAGATTGTCGGAAGAAATATCAACAACCTCTGATATGCAGATGATAGTACCACTCTGATGGCAGAAAGTGAGGAGGACTTCAGGAACCTCTTAATGAAGGTGAAAGAGGAGAGCGCAAAAAAATGGTCTGAAGCTCAATATAAAAAAAACTAAGATCATGGCCACTGGTCCCATCACTGCCTGGCAAATACAAGGGGAAGATATGAAGGCAGTGACAGATTTTACTTTGTTGGGCTCCATGATCACTGCAGATGGTGACGGCAGCCACGAAAATAAAAGGCGCCTGAATCTTGGGAGGAAAACAATGACAAACCTAGACAGCATCTTAAAAAGCAGAGACCTCACCTTTCTGAAAAAGGTCCACATAGTCCAACTATGGTTTTTCCAGTAGCGATGTATGGAATTGAGAGCTGGACCATAAAGAAAGCTGACCGCCAAGGAATTGATGCTTTTGAATTCTGATGCTGGCGAAGACTTTTGAGAGTCCCCTGGACTGCAATGAGAACAAACCTATCCATTCTAAAGGAAATCAACCCTGAGTGCTGACAGATCCTGAAGCTTAGGCTCCAATACTTTGGCCATCTCATGAGAAGAGAAGACTCCCTGGAAAAGACCCTGATGTTGGGAAAGTGTGAAGGCAAGAGGAGAAGGGGACAACAGAGGATGAGATGGATAGACAGTGTCATCGATCGAAGCTACCAACATGAATTTGTCCAAACTCCGGGAGGCAGTGGAAGACAGGACAGCCTGGCGTGCTGTAGTCCATGGGGTCACGAAGAGCTGAACACAATTTAACGACTAAACAACAACAAACCACCTGTGTGGAACACAATAGGCTGAACACTCAGAAGTATTTCACATACTGTACTTTACACATGAAGAGCATGAACAGACAAGGGGCAGCACAGTAATTCACTTTGGCAAAGAAAGATAAATGAATAATAAACCCAATTAAGCAATCAATCAAGTGCTGATGCAGATATTATTTATGAGTTTACTAAAGCAAACTGGTTGGTTACTTCCACAACTTATTAATGGTTTTAACCTTTTTTTTATAACTCCCAAATATTGACAGTGGTCTCATAACTAGGTACAATGAGTTATAATATTTTTAATGCCCAATTCTGTTGCAGTAATCTGCAAGATCATGCATTAATTTCAAAATGTCTGCCAGCCTGTCTCTCAGTCCAAATATAATTCCAAAACTCACAGTACTGTATCTATATACTACCTTCTATATCTTCTTATTTACCATACCAGCCTACAAAGTCCTTAACTACTTGAAGCCAACATATCTCCTATCTTTCCCTTTGCAGTGTCACAACATACTCTTAAGACAGATACTATCTGCACAGCTTATATACAGTAGCTTTATTACACTACAAACAGAAAGCAAAGAAATGCAGAGAGAAATTTCTAGTCACTGTTGCTCCTGTGCTGTGGTAAGTACTGTTGAACTGTGACTAATGGCAAGGGATAATGTAGGAGCACTCATAGATGAGACAACGGAGGAATGTTGCACTTGTTCTAATGGAAGATTCCTTTCACATTCATCATCATCACACCAGCTGTCATCCCAGTTCATCAGTCAGAAAAAAAATGTTTTACAGGACAGGATCCCTTGCATGCATCAATGAATACTTGCCAGACACCAGAAAGGCACTCAGAAATGTCTTCCATATTCCATATTCTGAAGTGTATTCAGGAGAACTGTATGACCAGTTAACAAGTTAAGCATGCCCATACATTGAAATGCTTTATCATATCTACTGCAAGAGAATGTGTAGCAGCCTCCTTAGCTCTTTATAGCACAAATTCCAAGGAAATCATGTTGAAATACACAGGGTGAGAACAGCCCACACTGGCATGTTTTTATGGGTATAAGAGAGGGTCAAATAAGAACTGAAGAAGTCTTCAGAAGAGATGAAAGTAGGAGAACATCTACATCAATATTAAGAGTTTAAGACATACACAGTGGCAACCCACACATAGTTTTTCAATGCTGCTAAACAGAAAGTGCAAGAAAAACAAATGGTACTCACTAGCCAAAAGAGAATGCTAGGCAACTAAACCACAAGGTGTTCACTGAACAGCTTACTCAATATAGCTAGCATGCTCACGGTTATATGTACATGTTCCAGTATCATATGAACCAAAATAATAAACTGATACAGTGGTGCCTCGCTTAACGAGCGCACCGTACAACGACGAAATCGCATAGCGATCCCTTTTTTGGGATCGCTAATGCGATCGCTCAACGTTGTTATGCTCACGGTTATATGTACATATTCCAGTATCATATTAACCAAAATAATAAACTGATAGTTCTTTCTAATGTTAAACTTGGTTTAGCATTCAAACCCAGAAAATCTTGAATTTGCCTGTGCTCAATCTTGCGAATCTGCTAGCTGCAAGAGGAAAGAATTAAAACGAAATCCACAGTAGTGCATTATTTTTATTAGGCAAACTCTAAAGTCAAATGAAATGTAAATGCTTCCAGACGTTTAGACCAATGAAGGAAGCATTATGTTACAAAAAGCAAGTTGGGTGAGATTATGTTTATCACACTAAGGGGAGAAAAAATAGAATGTCTTGATGTTGGAGTTATTATATATGCATAATCAGTCTTGAGATGGATTGATAAGGGATCTGCAAAAATTCAGATTAAGCTAGGCAACTAAACCACAAGGTGTTCACTGAACAGCTTACCGTTCAGCGATGTTATGCTCACGGTTATATGTACATATTCCAGTATCATATTAACCAAAATAATAAACTGATAGTTCTTTCTAATGTTAAATTTGGTTTAGCATTCAAGCCCAGAAAATCTTGAATTTGCCTGTGCTCAATCTTGCGAATCTGCTAGCTGCAAGAGGAAAGAATTAAAACGAAATCCACAGTAGTGCATTATTTTTATTAGGCAAACTCTAAAGTCAAATGAAATGTAAATGCTTCCAGACGTTTAGACCAATGAAGGAAGCATTATGTTACAAAAAGCAAGTTGGGTGAGATTATGTTTATCACACTAAGGGGAGAAAAAATAGAATGTCTTGATGTTGGAGTTATTATATATGCATAATCAGTCTTGAGATGGATTGATAAGGGATCTGCAAAAATTCAGATTAAGCATTAAGCAGTTGATATGATGCCTTCTAGATGGATGAGGAATTGCCTTTAGAACTACTAAGAATAAGAACACACATAAACATTGATCCCCTAATTTTGAAAATACAAATCCAGCTTTTATTCAGAATGCATGAGCTCCTTAAACAGAGATAAACAACGCAGTGAACAAAACTGGGGATAATTTCAGATGCAGTGACGGGTTTTAAAAATGGGATGGAAAGCAAATTCATATCAATTAAAGCTGGGTTTTATCATCTGAGGGTTCATCACTACCAGCAGCTAAATAGATCTGTGTCCATCATATGGAGCTCAAGAGCAGGAGCCTATGATAGGACAAGAGGGGTGGAGTTAGAGTGACAGTTGTGGAGTTAGAAGGACATAGAGAGAGAAAGAGAGAGGGATAGGGAAGGAAAGTGAGAGAGGGAGGACATTGTATGGAGAGAGTTAAGACAGATATTGGAAAGTTGGAGAATTATAGAGAATAGGAAAGAGTTAAAAGGAATAGAGAATAGATAGATGATTAAAGAATATTCTTAAAGAGGTTACTGTGAATAAAACCCATATAGGTAAACATGTAATCAAATCCAATTAATGAATGATCCTCAACAACTGTGATTTACATCTGTGATTTACATACCAACTAAATGATCAATAAATCTGTTATATTGGCAGCACATGTCTGATATATATTTGGTATATTGTTGACTAGATCCACTGGTGGCAGCATAGAAAAAGGCAATGCAAGAAGGGTGGAGTTGGAGTGATAGTTGTGGAGTTAGAAGGACATTGAGTTAGAGAGAGAAAGAGAGAGGGATAGGGAAGGAAAGTGAGAGAGGGAGGACATTGAATGGAGAGAGTTAAGACAGAGATTGGAAAGTTGGAGAATTATAGAGAATAGGAAAGAGTTAAAAGGAATAGAGAATAGATAGATGATTAAAGAATATTCTTAAAGAGGTTACTGTGAATAAAACCCATATAGGTAAACATGTAATCAAATCCAATTAATGAATGATCCTCAACAACTGTGATTTACATCTGTGATTTACATACCAACTAAATGATCAATAAATCTGTTATATTGGCAGCACATGCCTGATATATATTTGGTATATTGTTGACTAGATCCACTGGTGGCAGCATAGAAAAAGGCAAGACATCCTGAGGGTGGACCTGTGTTTGGGGAGAACAAACAAGGGACACTAGGGGGATGCGACAATATCTAATTTGGCTTTCATTGAACTTGAAAAAAAAATCATCTAACTCTAGTCAAAGCTTGTCCCCTCATCTAGCCTGATGAAGAGACCAGGAAGTGTCAGCTTGCATTTCTGAATTGGCCTATTAAAGGTACTGTGAGGATTGCCCCACCTCACTCCTGTCACTTAGTCTGGATCTCATTCGCATGAGCCTATGAGAGGAGTGGAGGGGATGAGTCAGCAAGATATAAGAAGGCTTGGCAGAGAAAGGAGAGAATTGGCAGAGAAGATAGTGAATTTGCAGAAAGAGAGATAGATGGTCAGGGAGACAGTGATAAGAGGTACTAATAGAGATAAGCTGGTCAAGATTAATAGGTGGTGATTAAATATGTGGCAAGATATATGATGGAAGGGAAAGGAAAGTCCAATGCTGCATAGAAAAATACTGCATAGGAACCTGGAATGTAAGATCTATGAACCTCGGGAAGCTGGAGGTGTCAAAGCTTGTCCTCTCATCTAGCCTGATGAAGAGATCAGGAAGTGTCAGCTTGCATTTCTGAATAGGCCTATTAAAGGTACTGTGAGGATTGCCCCACCTCACTCCTGTCACTTAGTCTGGATCTCATTTGCATGAGCCTGAGAGGAGTGGAGGGGATGAGTCAGCAAGATATAAGAAGGCTTGGCAGAGAAAGGAGAGAGAGAATTGGCAGAGAAGATAGTGAATTTGCAGAGAGATAGATAGTCAGGGAGACAGTGATAACAGGTACTAATAGAGATAAGCTGGTCAAGATTAATAGAGTAGGTGATGATTAAGTATGTGGCAAGATATATGATGGAAGTGAAAGGAAAGTCCAATGCTGCATAGAAAAATACTGCATAGGAACCTGGAATGTAAGATCTATGAACCTCGGGAAGCTGGAGGTGATCAAACAGGAGATGCCAAGAATAAACATCTACATCCTGGGCATCAGTGAACTAAAATGGACAGGAATGGGCGAATTCACCTCAGATGATTATCATATCTACTATTGTGGGCAAGGAGCCCGTAGAAGGAATGGAGTAGCCTTCATAGTCAACAAAAGAGTGGGAAAAGCTGTAATGGGATACAATCTCAAAAATGATAGAATGATGTCAATACGAATCCAAGGCAGACCTTTCAACATCA